TGTGTCAACACAGGGTGCTTACCTTGGCGTGTGCTGCGTTCTTGCAGCTTTTCCTGCTTTTCAAATTGATGTGGACAATGGTACAGTCTTAATAAAGAGGTCTTCTCAGCTTCAAGCAACCCCCTTTGATCTCAGCAGGTACCATGGGTAGGGGTCACACAGAGTACCACCAGCACCCATGGCTGTCTCCAGAACCCTTTCAGCATTTGTTGTTACAAAAATGGAGGTGGCCATCTAGTGCTTTGGGGGTGCCAGGGAGTGAGGTGTGACTAATACTGCATTTAAACTTCTTTTAAGTAGATTTTGATAGTAAAATCAATGCAGTGAGAAATGTGGATGGAAGCACACAGTCTAAGTTACCAAATGCTGATCTGTCAGAGTTTGATTCCTTCAAGAAATAAGATCCATTTATGAAAGCTACATTTCTATTTAGAGCTTTATCTCCTGAGAGTCTGGGGAGACCATAGCAGTTCCTCAGGATTTTGACTCAGAGACATCTCTACATAAGAATAATCAATACATTGCTGATTAAAAAGTGCACAGACACAACACAAAACCCAGCACATAAATGGCCAAACCCTAACCCAATCAACTCCCAAATTAAAGTCATCAAAGCTCAAATCACAGAAGAGGAGAGAGGAGTACCCTGAGCCAATGTTTCCACTGACTTTGATTAATTGACTCCTCCTGATGTGTAGTGTTCAATTAATTAAAAAAAAAATGATTAGGGAAATTCACAAATGTTTCTCTGGCGAAAACACTGGGAGGTGTGCCTGCATAAAACGCAAGGATTTTTCATGCAATATTAGAGCCCCACTGGCTGACTTGAGCAGGGCCCTTACATGGTTCCTGCCATCCATCAACCTCGGTGGCACCTCCAAGAGAGCAAAGAGAATGGGTCTGGCATTCTAATTTTCCTTAGGAAATTAATGTAGTGGTGCTCTGGGTCTTGATTCATAAGGTAGCTGTATACAGTAGATGTAGGTACAAAGCTGCATCACATTTTGATACATATTTACCAGAAATAATGATAAATAGAAGTGATGCTGACCTAGCTTTGTTTTATTAGGTACTAATGAAAGATGATGAAAAGAGTAATTAGCAAAACAGGGAAGATGAATTAGTAGAGAAAATAAACAACAAGAAACAATCAGGCTAACTACCTCAATTAATTAGGAAAACTTTCTTCCCTGCATGAGTCCTCAGTGGCTCAGATGTAAGAGGAAAAAAGTGCACGTAAAGAGGTGTTGTCTGTGCACTGATATTTTCCATGGCACAGCTGTGCCAGCACATGTGTAATAGGTCTGGGAAGCACTGAGTGACCACCAAGGAGTGGGACATCTCAGAGTGGCACCTTCTCCTGCCCCATGTGCCTGTCTGCCCCAGGGAACAGCGCTGGGTGGTGGTGTTGGATGTGAGAGGTTGACAAAGCGTGAGTGTGGTCTTAACAGAAACCATGTGAAAAAGCAGATATCCTATTTAACTGTGACGTTTTGGGCAGCTAATGCAGTTAGAGACTTGCTATGGAAAAAGAAAGCTGAGTAGTAAGCAATGTTACACAATGGAAGCATTTATTACTTATATATGATATCTTATAACTCATCAGTCAATACACGTGCCTTAGGTATGTATGGAAAACATACTGACTATCCTACCCCCACATATTAGTGTGAATTGTGCTGAATCTCTAGTCATGAAAATGTTTCTGCTGGAACAATTTGCTTGCAGTCAGGCTTATTTTCAGTTTATTTGAATACCTTCCAAGCATGAGGAGAGAACTAAAGCGCAAGACTGGTAGATTTCCAACAGAATGAGTATAAAGTGCTATTACTGCAGGGAAGAATTATTGTTAGATGGATTATATACATATATTATTTTCTAAAGTGTGTTTTGATGTGAACAAACAGCACTGTTAGCTAAAGTAAAAAGGCATGGGGAGATGGCAGAGTAACACAAACACTACTTCTCTGAGGAGCTGTGCTCTGCAAGAGAGGAGACAGCTAGGGATGTAATGTGGACCAAGTATATCTCTGCAATGGACACCACCTGGCTTCCCTTTTCTGATTCTAGATTGTGGAATTCTGTGTCAATCAAGTTAACAAAGTTTGTCTCAAAGTTTTCTTACTGGGTACATCAATCCTAGTGGGCTCCATAGAGTGAAGAGAATAGAAACGGTTTGTATTCTGCTACTTGAACTAAAGGTCAGGAACATTAGTCACAAAATACTCAGCCTAATCTCAGGTAATTAGCAGATGAAATCACTGAGACTTTGAGTTTGTAATAGATAAAAGTCATTGGAAAGAGGCTTTCCTCATCATTCCTCACTGAGAAATCCAGTTCTCATGGGGACTGGGGATCTGTAAGGTGAAAGTGCCTGCTGAGATTTCTTGTAGATGCCTCAGCAATTTACCAGGCTTAAAGGTAACGTACATCCATCCCCTCTCTTTATTCTGCAGACCCTGTAAAAACAACCAAAGAGAAAAGTGATGAGTTGAGCTGGCAAATAGGTATGAGATTCATATTTGTTAGGTCTCAAATAGTCCACAGAAGTGTAGCAAGAAATAATTTTGCATCATGGGCTCAACTCCTAATCATTTTTCAGCTATACTTTGAAATGCATCTTACAGGAAATTCTTGAAATGAAAAAAATAAAGCAGCAGGTACTTTAACAGACAGCATTGGCATCTTCGTTGTGGCCACGGTTGTCTTGGCTATCTGTTGTGGGAGCATTGCCACACATAAGCTTCATGCCCTCAGCACTGCACATCATCCAGGAAAATAAATCCAGAACCTTCCCCAAACTGGGTGGTGCCCACACCCAAGCTGTCTGCAGATGGCCTGAGCATCACTAATATCCCACGAATCATGGCAGATTGTTCTCCAGTGTCCTTTGTAGAAAAGTTTGACATGTCTCTTACATCAATTTCTGCCATTTTTCAGCCACAGAGATTTTTCTAGCACAGACAGAGCAGAAGTGAATGACACACTGCCCCGACTCTAACCTTACACTTGTGCCAGGTGGAGGAGAAGACCTGAGAAAATGCTATTCTGCAGAAAGGGGCCATTCATGCAGCCTGACGTGGTACTTGGAGCAGGCAAACAGCCCGCTGATGCTATGCTGTACTTGCAGCATAATTAAACAGTAAGATACAGAGGCCAGATTTTTGTAAGAATGACGGAAGCAGCCATTTGCTCTGTGCAGGTTCAGTGAATCTCTGGAGTTGCACAACACTTTGAGTAAGGCTGTGTTCCCTGAGAATGACTTCTAGAGGGTCTAAGCAGGCATGTGTGAGGGACACTTTGCCCTTCTGTGATGAATTTCTGAAAGTACGTTCAAGATTTTCATCTGCTTGCAATATGGCTTGCTAAGCAGTGAGGTAGGTTAAGGGAGTCTGATTTTCATTCAGCAAGAAGTTTTGAATTGCACACCTTACACTCTTTTCAAGATGGTTTCCCAACATTTGAGTCATCTACATTATTTGATGAACTATAGCGTGTCACTTCTCCATCCTCTTTGAATAAATGTTATCATTTTCTCTTTGCATCAAACAAAAGGGGAGAGCAGTGGATGTTGTCTACCTTGACTTCAGCCACTCACTACTTTTTGGTGCTCCTACCTAGTCTTGGTAATAAGCAAATAGAACTGGTTAACACAGATTTCAGATGATTAAAATAATGTGATGGTAGTATAAAAGTATTTGATGGACTCTTAGTGGCACTGATTAAATTGCTCTAAAAGTTTTTGAATCTTAGCTGGATAGAAATTTGTAATGACTAATATTGGAAAAAAAAAGAGGGAAATTCTCTGTGTAGGATAGAGCATTGTTACTGGCAAGAGAGCCATAATGCTGTTGAGAAAAGGGTTCCCTAGTTCATGGGAGCAGTTTTTCAATTTGACAAAATTAAAAAATAATTGTGGAGCTTCTTGAAAAAGCAAAGATATTACTGTGTACACAAGCAAATGACACTGGCATCACAGCAGCTGTCACCAGTCTCTCTATACCACCTCCTGTAAGAACATTCCCACAGGTAGTTCTCCTTTCCGCTGCACTGCACATAATCCTTGACAGTATTTCTTGGGCTGTGAGCAGAAGTGACATCTCCTGAAAATTGTACAGCATGTCCAAAACCTCCTGGTTACAGACAGCTTCTGCATCAGTTATATCCCAGAAATCATCACAAATGGTCCCCAGGTTCCTTTGTAAAATATTTCAGTGTGCCTTTCCATTGGTTCCATCCATTCACCAACCTCACTGACATATCTTTGAAAGAAAAAAAGAGAATTTCTCTGAACCTGGACACTTCATGGAAAGACAGAATCAGAGACTTAAGCAGGTTGGAAGGGACCTCCAGAGGTGTCTCGTCCAGCTCCTGCTTGAAGCAGGTCCAGAGCAGGTTGTTCTGGGTGATGTCTATGAAAACATTGAATACCTCCAAGGATGGAGATCCCATAGCTTCTCTGGGTCCCTATTCCAGTGTTTGACCACCTCATGGTAAAAAAAGTTATTTTCCTTTATATTGAGGTGGAATTTCCTGAGTTCTGACTTGTGCCTGTTGCCTCTTGTCCTATTGCTGTGCACCTCTGAGAAGAGTCTGGCTCCATCTTCTCTGCATCCTCCCAATAGGTGACTGTAGATGACAATAAAATCTCCCCTTCACACACAAGCCCGAGTCCATCAGCATCTCCTTGTACATCATCTTGTACTCCAGCTCGCTGAACATCTTTCTGACCCTTTGCTGGACTTGCTCCAGGATGCCATTGCCTCTCTTGTATGGAGAAGCCACACTCTTGTACTGGATGTGGTGCTACAGATCTGTCTCACTGGAACTGCGTAGATGAGAAGGATCACCTCTTTTGACCCGCTGGCAATGCTCAAAGGGCACATTGTTGGCTCATGGTCAACTTGTTGTCCACCAGGAATCCCAGATCCTTTCCTGCAATGCTGTCGTCTACCCAGCTGGCTCTCTGCCTATACTGCTGCACTTCATAATCTCAGCTGACGCTTAATGTCAAAGAATTGTTTTGTGAAGGAGGATTAAGGTGGTACAAAGCAGGTTGTAAGACAGACGTCTGTGCCATTCTCATTTCCCTAGATAGGTGTGAACAACTGTTTTCAAGCTGCGTAGATGTTCCTTCCTTTCAGAGTCCCTGGGGCAAGGCTATGCCCCTAAAGCTCGTACCTACTCTGTCTGAAGACAGTGATATTCCTGAATAATTCAAGCTCTGCTCACAGGATCCACAGCAGTACTGCTCTGAGTAAACAGCAGGTGTGAACTTCCATGTAACTCAGTCTATACAACATCAAGCTTAATTTATACAGACTTAACATTTAGATATAATTTGGGGAAGTTCTTGACTTTGTTCTTAGAATAGAATAGAACAGAAAAGCTGGTCATCTGTTTGATACCTGGGCTACACTGGTGTATTATCGTGACAGAATATTCCTCTTCATAAACTGTATGTTGGTACTAAATGACTGTATTAGGGAAAACTTACTTCATCAGTAAAATCACTAAAGATATATAGGAGATGAAAATTACAGGGAACTTCAGACATCAAAGAAGCTGTAAAAAAAAAGAAAGAAAAGAGTGAGAAAGTTCACATTTCTAACAACTTGCACTAAACAAAATGAACAGAAAATATTTATTTACCCACAGTGCTAGAAAAAACCCCGCAAATCAACTTAGTACATTGAATTTTTGTCTTTGTAAGGTTATTTATATTTTTAAATGCATAGTAGCATGTATTTGGCAAATACAGTAATATGCCTCATGAAAGATGATTTTATACATCACATGAGGCAATCACTAGTTAGTTTCTCTGTTATTCCTGTGAACAATCAGTTGAATTCGTTCTTTAGTTAGGAAGCACTGGGAATGGGAAGATGGGTAAGCCTCTGAATGGCATTATGCTCTACCAAAAGAAAAGGAAATGTAACTGTCCTGTTTACTATCTAAAGATTTTGAGTGTGGAGGCTACCATGTGGGTTATAGATCCCTCTTAAGAAGTATTTACTAAAATGCAGGAGAATAGTTTGGGGATGTCCTGAAGAGCTTGACGATGATTTTGGTAGTTTAGTTCCCCTTCGCTGAGCACCAGAACCTCAGTCCAGCAGATGTGTATAACACGCTATTGCTAACATGTCAGTAGATCAGAAGATACCTGCACAGATGACACCAGCATCTTCCTGATGAAAACAGTGATTGACAAACCATCTGTTATGGGAGCACTGCCAGAGGAGAGCTTCGCCCCCTTGGCACTGCACTTTGTCCAGGAGGATTTCCCCTGTGCCATTCACCAAAATGAGCTTCTCCCAGAGGTGCAAAAATATCTTTTCTACCCATTCACTAGCCTCAGGGATGATTCTTTGGAAGACAAAAGGAAATTAGATCGGAGTGACTGATATGTTTTCAATGACACCTGCAGCCTCAGGCTTTTGGAGGAAAAGCTTTACAACAGCTTTCTAAGGAGCCCATCAGCAGTGAAAGTGTGCTCTAACCTGTGCTCCTCACCAGACTTGAGTTCCTCTGGTGTTGGGCCTGATTTTAAAGCGTCTTCCAAGGGTGAGCTGTCCTTATGGCGGTTGCATAAAGTTAGAGTTACACTGACACAAAACCGTCATCATCTACTGGAGACTCCAGCACGTCATATTGTGTTTAATCTGGCTAGCAATGGATTACACAAAGAAGCCAGTGCCCAGAATAGCACAGCAGCAAGTCATTGCCTTCGGTGTTTCACTTATTGAAGTGAAAACTGAAAACATGTGGCCCCTTAGTGATTACTTTTGCACTGGGTGCACATATGCTGCGTGGCTTCCAGCTGAAGATCTTCACAGTGAAGACCACTGTGTTGCCCCTTGGCTCTGAACTGCTTCCAGATTATTACCTGCATTGATTAATATTATTTCCAAAGCTCACAGAAACAGTGTCACAGGCAAACACCTTGTTATAAGGAACGGATCTGCTGACACTGGTGTGTCCAAAGCAGTAATTCAGATCTAGGCTGTCTAACCTCTAGGCTGTGCTTTTTTGGTTACCTTAATTATTATCTGCAGCCCTTCTCTTCTATGGGACCAGTGGTTAAATCCTCCCCTTGGCCTATCCAATGGCAGCCACTGGCCCAAGAGGAACCAGCTGCCAGCAGCCCGGGAGAGAATAAGGGAA